ATTGCTGGAAGTGCGTGGGCTGGACGGGATATGATGAGTAAGTCTCGTGACCCCAATGTTACAAACAAAAGCTAACTTGTGATAGCCCGATGTACTCTTGCTATGCGCAGTCCCGACATGCACCACTGCCATCTATACCGCTAGGCCCTCTTAACGAGTAATTAAAGGGCTCTGGTTAGCTTTTCTTCTTTACTCCTTCGTTTCACTGTTCCTCAAACCCCGGAATTTACCGTGAATGTACTATAGCATATCTTGGCCGTCTCTTTGCGCCCAATTCCATCATTACTCCTTCTCTGTTGAACATTGTTGTTTTTCACTCGCAGTCAACGCATCTATCTTGTGGGTTTGAATACTCCGAATGCGGAGGCAGCCACATGCAACATAGTCCGCTCAAAGTTAGCTCAAAGTTCGAGATCAACGTCCAGCGTTCACGGTGAGAGCTTCACACCTCCTTTGAAGTACAGTAAAAGTTCCATGACGTCCCTCGCCGTTTGATTTATCTAATCCCCCTTCACTTGCTGGCCTCCCATTGGCCGGACACCGCGACGTTTGCAAACGGGCCAGCTGCGCGATACCGCTCCAGGATAGTATATAACTGACGCTCACCTTCGCTTTTTTTATATACAAATACAGATCAACTACTGAGGACACAACATCTCCTCCAACCACTGAAACTTGAGACCAACTACTCGACTCGACTCGACTCGAGCTTGCAACAACAACAAAAACACTCAACAAGCACATTCAAAGGCAGGTAACCATGTACTTCCCCGTCCTTGCTGTTCTTGCGATACTCCCCCTTCTCACCACTGCTCTCGGACATGACCACCACCGTGTTCAGGGCCGCGATATCAAGACCGAAGTCGTACTCGTCACCCAGACGGTCTACACCACCATGGTAATCGCTCCAACCCCCACCATCGTTGCCTCACAAGCGCCCACCCTGAGCATCCTCACCATCGGGAATCCAACCACGATTGTGCCCGCTCCTTCACCTCCAGCCGCTGCACCAGCAAAGCCGTCTCCACCGCCCCCAAACCCCTATACCCCGCTGGTTTCCGCCCCCAACAATGCCAGCATCATCAACTCGTGTGATTATGACGTCTGGGTCTCTTCCATCGGCGGCCACGAGAGCTGCGGACCCGGCAACACCAACTACCTCGTCCGCGCAAAGACTACATATACCGAGGCCATCCGCGTATGCACTAACGCCGGAGTCTCGCTCAAGGTATCAAAGACGGTAGCTGGTCTCGTAAAACCGATGCAATTCGAGTATACCGTCGGGGCAGACAAGAAATCCGTGTCATACGATATTTCCTATCTGGACTGCATGGTCAAGAACGGCACGGAGTTCAAAGACTTTGCGGGGTGTGTGGGACAGGAGAAGGGTATTCAGGCTGCCGGCGGAATAAAATGCAAAGGGTTTCATTGTGTGCCTGGGGTTGAGTGTGCGCAGTTGGCGTATACGGAGCCGGGGTTTGGGGGGAAGAATAATGCGCCTGTTGGCACTTGTGGAGTTGAGGGGGGCGTGGTATTTGAGATTTGTGCCGAGAATAGGAAATGAGTGGGAGAAGCGAAGGAAGAGAAAGGCAAGATGAAGTCCGACTTGGTACTTAATTGTGTTTTGATGGCTTCTGGGTATAGAAAGGGATGCTGATATTTTCTTGCTTATAGGTGGAGAGTAGAGAGGGTGGAGGAACGATATAATCGTCGATGTCCTCTCTTTCTGGGTACCGGCTATTCTGTTTCGGAGGCGGATATCATCGACATACCGGCGAGCAATGCGAGGATGCTGATGTATCATGATGTATAACAGGTGCTTCTCTGGTGGCAACCAGAACAAGTTTAAGATTTGGATTTCTGGGGATTGTAATATGAGTATATAACTAAAATTGCAATTATGTAGGGAAAGGTTGAGAAAGTAGAATGTTGTGAAGTCTTCCTTCTCGTACTGTACAAGAGGGATATAAGTATGTGGTTGGCGAGTTTGTTCATAACGAACAATTAGACAGACATCAGCTTATTAGCGAGGGAAACGGTAGTTTTGGGCTTTGTCTAATCGCTTGAATAACAGTAAATAGCAACCATATGAAAACAGTAATCATAGTGTCTGCAGTAGTCCCATATGAATGCGGAGAGATGCGGGCAAACACGTGACCAGCGGTCGATCTGTAGCTTTGGCATCAATTTTGCACTTTCCAACCTAACATGTCAATTCTGTAATCTAGTATCAGGACTTATCGTTGCCATACCAACTGTGGAGCATCCTTTTCGCTCGTGTGGCCAAGAAGTGTGGTTGTCATGACTGCCGGTTCCTAGTTACTAGCGTGCTAATTCAACGAATCCGAGCGTATCCGTGTCCTCACTCGTACCAACACACTCTGACCAGACTCTACCGTATTGGCTAGTCCGCATTTCTTTGGCAAACTGTCCATCCTGTGGGTGTTTGGAGGAAACAAAGTCTGGACTGCATATGACGCAAGGATATCGGTTATCGATAGGACAAGTACCGAGCTAAACGCGTACTACCGCTTCCGTCGTCCACGCCCGCGTTTGGGGCGAGGAAGCCGAACGCGCCATTTGCACCAGCCTTTTGCAGCATGCGATGCACCCCGCATGTTAGCCAACATGTCTGTGCCAGAGTCTGACATACTAAAGCCGCTGGACGCCTCAAACACCAACTCAGATGACTGGGAGATTTTCGTTCTCAAGGATGCGCACGTCACATATGAGAGCAATGGAAAGCCTGCCAGCCTGCTCGCCGCGTATGCGGATACCCCGCTCAAGGTCGAGGGGCACCTAAAGATGCCTGGGCGCAGCCAGCTAAAGTATCGTACGTAGATCTGGATGCCGTTAAAAGCGCATCAGTGGAATAGCATAGTCAATTGACACCGCCGCAGTCCTCAAGAAGCCTTATAACCCCACGGACATCGAGATACGGAACGTGACACGCTTCTCGTACGGCGAAATGACAGATGGCGCATACGTGATATGGGCCCAGGGAAAAGCTGGCTGGTTCGAAATCCAGCCCGCGCCCCAGTATAAGCCCATCTATGACGAGATGGTTCAGGCTGTTGAGCTGCTGTACTTTGTGATAGATATCCACAGTGAAGTGCGGAAGAAGAGTGGAGGACCCAGTGCTGAGCTCATTTTCCAGGAAGTAAGTGCAACACGGATATCCGCAGCTAGTTCCAAAAGCCTGCGCCGATTGAGCAGCATTATGAGATATACAGGCTAACTCATGTAGTACGCAGAAGACAAACGCTTCTCTTGTAACGACATAGCCATGGCAGAGGAAATCTTCGACAAGCATCACATGTTCCTGATGATGTGCTTCTTAAATAGGGCACAGGGCTTAAGCTGGAGTAACACTCCTATATACCAGCGCTTTAGAAGAAGATTTCCAGTAAGTCACATTCCGGCCAACCCTGGACTCAATCTGATCTGCGAATAGAAAGACTTTGACGACTGCAAAGCACGCATAGAGGGGCGCTATTCCCAAATCCAATCCGAACACTCACCGACAAGGTCGAAATCAAGGTCTACGCCATCTCTCAGTTCAAAGCAAGCAGCTATACCTGGAACGTTACGGCATACTCGGAGGAAGTCGGCGGGGTCAAAAACGCCGGACGCGCCGAAAAAAGACGATAATTGGTGGGAAGCTGCGGCACTTTTTGAGTTTATGCAGAAAGCAGTAAACCAACGAGTTGTGCGCCCAGGAAGAAATCAAATAACTTTGGATCGGGTTGCAGAGTTGGTTGTTAGGCGTTATGAGATTGACGAAGTGGAGACCGCAAAAACGGTCCTACTGGTGCATGCGCAGAACCTCTGCTATATGATGGATCGTCCACGAAGAAAAGCTGTACAATTCTTCGCAGATGAGCCAATATACCAGGAACTAGCAGCTAGACATAACTTATCTGCAGCTGAACAGAGACGAGCAGAAGACGTCGAGCTCAAACCACGGAAAGATCACGCAAGGCTAAGAGATGAACAGAGCGATTCGTCAGATACATCCGACGAAGAAGACGAAAATGATGAACTACAAACGCCCGCTCGACGACCACTAGGCAGACGGAAGAAAGGCCGACTGTCAGTCCTGCGACCAAAAACTGGTAACTTCTCCGGCAAGAGTAAACGTGTGATCATCAAACCAGGTAAACAAATAGCCGGCAAGGGCAAAGCACCCGTAGCAGCCAGTGACGCCTCATCGGAATCACAAAGCGAGGATGATGCAAATAGCAGTTCAGACCTGGACATTGACAACACGCCCACACAAACCCTATCACCAAGTCGCGAGAAGAGGAAACTAGACGGTACAGACACCGAGTACGAAGCAAAAGATGCTCGGAGAAAACGACGAAACAGCACCTCTTCCTCTCCGCCTACAACAAACGATTCCGATTCCAGTGAAGCAGACGCCAGCACTTCTCTACCCCTTCCCCTCCGACACCTCCCCGCATCAGCATCAAGCAACAGCAAACCCACCGTCTCCCCTCAAATCGTATCCACCCCACTCCCCACCTACGAAGCTAACGGACCCCGCGACTCCTGGCTCTGCAGCTTCGACGGCTGCACCCAGCGCATATACGGCTGCAGCAAGGAACTCGGTCGCCAACTCATCACCGAGCACCTGGAAGACCACAGCCGCGGGCGTGATAAGGTAGTAGGGATTCTGTGGCGAGAACAGAATAAGTTGCATTTACCCGTTAAGTAAGTTTACCCCCAAATATGCAAGGAGAGTGTGAAGTGGAGTTTTGTTTTTGTGGGATGAGAAACTAATGAATGGGACTACAGTAATTTGATTAAGAAGATTAGGGAGATGAGTGAGGCTAGTACACCGTTGTTTCCGGCTCAGGAAGGAGGTGTGAGGGAAGAGAAGGTTAGGCCCATTGAACGACCGGTTTGAAGAGAGATGTGTGAGATTAGTATACGTTGAAGATATGGGGGTCTTTGGATACGCCTCGTTCTTCTCTAAATTTTATGATTAAGCATTTTTGTCATTCTTGCCTCTCCTTTTTTTTGCTTCGGGATTTCTCGTTTTCTTTCTCTTGAAAATCCCTTTTCTTCTTCGTCACTACGTCCTTTTCGATATTTTCTATGCTTGGTCGCACATCTTCTAACCCTGTTTCACACGCTTCTAGTATCGCACTTGCGTCTTCGTATACGGCTCCGGTGGCCGGATCAACACACCATTTTGGATGCGGAAAGGGGAGGGCGTGGAGTGGAGTTCTGAGAGCACTTTCTTCGTATCGAGTGTCAAGCGCGAGGAGAGGACCACATGATGCAGGGCGGGTTTGCGTATGGTAATATTGGTGTTGTGAGGGTACTGAGAGTACGGGCGATGCGGCCGAGGCCGAAGAAGCGCTGGGTTCTGCGGAGGTCATGAGAAATGCGCCCGTATGTGTTGTCCGTCTTGGTGGTTGTGGAACTCGGTCTGTTAAATACCGAAACAGAATATGCTATGGAGATGAAAGATGAGAGTGTATAGTTCAAGGAGGTAGATGTCACACGCGAGCACGATACTATATAGCGAACAGAAGATCAATGAACATGCGGACTCAGGAGATGTCTTTAGCTAAATGTCCAAATGTGAATTGTAGCGTTTTCTTTGTTTGTCCGGAATTAGGTGTGGAAGGGATATAAGGGTGTCACTAGTTAGGACTGCTTCCAACGCACACATCAACATCTGAAGACCAGTAAGATGATGAAGTTTCTTATTCGTAAATACCCAATTACTTTTATACGCTAATTGTCTTGAAAACATTGAATCCTGATCCGCCGGTAGCCATGATGGCGCCCGGAATCTGCGGGTGCCAGTGTGCCTCCTTGATTTGCTCCATGTAGTGCACAAATAGCAGTTGTGGTGGTACGTCTTGTATTCCTGCCGTGTATTTGCTCTCCTCGTCGTCAAGTTCGACGGCGAGATCCCACAATGTGAGCGTGTTGTCACCGGCGCAAACAAGGACGATACTGTCGTCTGTAGGGTGCCACTCGACAGAGGTGATCTGTTCTTTGTGGAATGTGTAAGATGCGACAGGCGAAGGCTTCTTGTCGCTGGACATGTCGGTAGATGGCTTCCATTGTCGCAAGTCCCAGACTGCCCACTCACCATCATCTGCACCAGAAGCGAGAAGATGAGCGGTCTGATGCGACCAGCTGAGTACGTTGACATCAGTCTTGGAGGCCTGGACACTGAGTACTGGTTTCCGTGATTTTGATCGAGCATCCCAGATCTTGACTGTGCCGTCGCTTGACGCTGAAGAAAACACAGTCTTCTCAGTTGGAGACCATTGAAGCTCCTCGACTGAGCCCCGATGGCCGGTAAAAGGTGTGGTGTCAGTCACAAAGCCTCCACCTTGCGTCCTGGTCGTGGCAAATATCTTTCCAGCGCAGTCACCGGTGAGAAGCTTGCCTTCTGGTACCATGGGAGACCAGTCTAGCGCATAACCCTCGTTTGGTCCGTGAGCTCGAATGGTGCAGACTGGTTTATTTTGTGCGGGAGAGATGGTGGTGCCGGGTGTATCGAAAGAGGTGAGATGTGGGGTGACGTCGTGGATAAGAACCTGGCCTGACTCTGTCATGGCGGCTGTGAGAGTCGTTGGGGGTTGCGCGGATGTTGCTTGTGGTGTTTGGTGTGCTCGTATACGGTTCGTGCAGCTCGTCAATGGTATCGACTTGGTCTCCAATATGGGATCAGATGCCTCGTCATCCGAATCCGAGTCCTCGTCTTCCTCGTCTTCCTTCTCCATGCGCGACAAACTGCTCATTTTCATGACCATGATCTGGTTCTCCTTGTCCCTTCCCCGTGCTGCTTGTGTGCCGGCGACTGCGTACACGGTTGCGGGGTATGTTTTGCGATCTGAGCCTAGGTTGTCGGGTACAATGTCGCAGGACAGACAGGGCCATGGCGCTTCTAGGGTATGCAGCATATCGTATGTCGAAAGATCGGGGTTCAGCGTCTCGCCGGGGGAGAGTTTGTGACGTCCAGGAATAAATGTGCCTAGAGAAATAGTTAGCAGCATATTCAAGTATGGCATACAGAACTCTTTGACCTTTGTCGATGTCCATGCCATTTTCGCGCTCTTCGGCCTCGCGCTCCTCATCTGGCCGTCCGTCTACTCCTGCCTCGAGAATCTCATCCTCGCTCTCGAATTCGTCCTCGAACTCATCCTCGAATTCGCCTGCCTCGTTCTGGGCGTCGACTTCCATGGGCCGCTCGCCATTCTTGATAGCCTCCAGCTCTTGCTCTGATTCTGCCGCTCGCTTTGCCATGTTTTACGTCTGAATATATTCTTGCGCGTGGTTGTGCTGGGGCGAGTCGCAAAAAAAAGTCGCACAAGTGTGAATTGGAAAACGAACTTTTTGAATAGTACGCGATAAGCGGCTTATCGATCACCAGCCACAGCAGCCCCTCGCAGTGGCTTGTGGCTTGGCGAACCAGGACACGGCGAGCCATCAGCGCTACCCCATGATACCCAATTGCATCGCGGCTAGCACTCAGTCAACAAGTCGACTTCAGCTCACAACACACACGCCCCTTTTGTCCCCGAATGCCATCGCACGCGTGAAAGTGGCCCTGGAAACTCCTCGAACGTCGCGTCTGCCGGGTCTTCCTTGTCTATCGCTCTCGACGCGTGCGCGCCCTCAGCTCTCGTTGCTGCCGAATATATACCGCTAGAAGTCGCTGCCGCTGCCATGGAAGAGTACTCGAGTCAGGCGCCTGTGCCAGAAACACTCCCCCAACCTGTCCAGGTGCCGCCGGAGCAACTGGGGTCTGACCAGCTGCAGCCCGAGCCCGTACCTGTTGATGAACACGAGGCGCAAAAACATATGGACCAGACCATGGACACGAACGATGACAGCATGGCCAGCACCATTACCGCCAACACCGTCACACCGCTACCAGATCCAGCCCAATCTAACAGCCTCAACAACAGCCCTTCCCCATACGGACACGAGCCTCACCGACCATCGACGTCATACTCGGACACCGCCTACCAGTACACAACACACAATGGCTCGCGCTTCACTACATCCTCAGATGCCGATACTCCTCCGCGGCACGGCTACTACGACTCCAGCAGAGAGGCACACGTCGGCCAATCGCACTCGCGGCCTAGCTCACAGATGGGACGGTACCCGACCTCAGAGGGCGGCGCCCGGTCAAACTCATACCAAGACCAACAACGGAGCGCACAACAACAACAGGAAGCAGTCAAAAATGCCAGCGTAGTCATCAAGGTCGGCATGGTCGGAGACGCGCAAATCGGAAAGACCAGTCTGATGGTCAAGTATGTAGAGGGTAGTTGGGACGAAGACTACATCCAAACATTAGGTGCGTTACACCATGCTTTTTTCTAGAGGTTGCAGTTTCTGACACGCGCAGGTGTCAACTTTATGGAAAAGACCATCTCGATCCGGAACACCGAAATCACATTCTCTATTTGGGATCTAGGTGGTCAACGTGAATTCGTCAACATGTTGCCATTAGTCTGCAACGATGCTGTCGCAATACTCTTCATGTTCGATCTGACGCGTAAGAGCACTCTCAACTCGATCAAGGAGTGGTATCGACAAGGGCGTGGCTTCAACAAGACTGCTATCCCCTTTTTAGTCGGCACAAAATACGATCATTTCGTCAACTTTCCTCGAGAAGAACAGGAAGAAATTTCTAACCAGGTACACACAATGTTTGGATCTTGGATGTCAGCCTAGTTTGCTAACCAGGTATAGGCCAAACGATTTGCACGAGCAATGAAGGCTAGTTTAATCTTTAGCTCAACAAGTCACAGCATCAACGTGCAAAAAGTACGAAATCTCCCTGTTCAGTCGAACATATGCTGACCTTGTCCCAGATATTCAAGATCGTGCTATCGAAAGCGTTCGACCTCAAGTGCACGATTCCTGAGATAGAAAACATTGGCGAACCACTTCTCCTCTACCAGGCCGTCTAGTCGCCGGACCGACGAGTGAGACCCCGGACAGAAGGGGCGCGGATGAACCTGTCTGAGAGGCAGATGGGGCGCGTCTTTTATCGGAACGTTACCATGAGCGAATGACTTCATGATTGATTTGCGTGGGATTGCATAGCCCGGCGATTGGAGCACGGAGCTATACATATATGTCGGGCACAAAATTGGCGTTCTTCTGCTTTGTATTCGCAGAGGCGCTTGTAAAGTTGGAGCCATGAGAGCTCAACTGGGACAATGGAATGAGAGCGTTGACTTGCACAGGCGGCGCAGTCTTGCAGCATAGTATACTATAGTCTAATGAAGAGTCGCGGGATCGCAGTACATATTTGCATGTATGTTTACACAGTACGTGACTTTGCAACGCGTACGAGGGGCAAGTTTAGGCGAATGACGTAAGCTTCCGCGACTAAAAGTTCGAGACATGCGCAAGTAACTTTGGTCAACACTTACAACCATCTGTGCGCGCACTTGCTAGAATAAGAACGAGTTCGCATCGAATACCGCGCGTGTTCGAACATGCTATAGAAACTCAAAAGCGGCTTACCAAATTCCGACTAGTGGTTCCGAAAAAAAGCACTTCATCGGGTTCTTCGCATAGCAGACGTTTTAATACGCGACCACATCAAACAGCACTCTTTCTTGTGCTCCACACACGCACAATGGCACTACCATCCATAGCCCTGCCGGGCCAGCTTCTCGGCAGCATTGACAAGTACTCTCCAGGCCCTGGAACGCACATTTATGAATCGCAAATCTATGCCTCAATAGCAGGGCCAGTGGTGTCTGTAGGCTCAGCACCACAACCGACACCAGGGAGCAACAAAGCCAAGCTACCACCTCTCGTCGCGATAACCCGGCCGCCCAGCTTCAGCGACCCAGGCATCCTAGGCCCCAACTCCGGGGGCGGTGTGCCCCTACTGCCAACGGTGTCCAGCACGGTGCTAGTCCGCATAACGCGTTTGGGCCCACGCTTCGCCTCGTGCGAGATCCTCGTCGTCGACGACGCTGTATGCCGGGAAGCCTTCCTCGCACAGATCCGGCGCGAAGATATTCGCGCAACGGAAAAGGACAAGATCAAGATTGAAGAAAGCTTCCGCGTTGGCGACTTGGTGCGCGGCACCGTGATTAGTCTGGGTGACAGCGGAAACTACTACGTTGCGACTGACCGAAATGAGTACGGCGTTGTACTTGCGAGGAGCGAGGAAGGGCGGGTCATGCACCCTGTTAGCTGGAGGGAATTCAGGGACCCAGTCAGTGGAAAGACGGAGTTGAGGAAGGCGGCGAAGCCGTTTTGAAAGAGTCTTGAGATATGTCTGTATAACGTATACCCCCTCTCCTTCCTTCTCCCGAGAAGATCACCATCCCAGAAAAAATCTCAGCATACTATCTATTCTCAAGTTACGAGATGGGTC